ATGGGCGACTCGTTGGAGAGCCCATCGGACGCGCTGGATGCCTTTCAGCAGCATGCCCTAGAGAGTTTCGGCCCCCAGTTGAGTGTCCAGCATCTCACTTGGTTTCGGGCAGTGGAGCTCATGATGGTTTCTAGCGCTTGCGCTGTCGCCATCGACCATCGCCTTTACTTTGGGGGAGGGGCGGCTATTCAGAGGCGAGAGTCGCTTGCCTGCAGAGGGCCCGTCGCGCAAACCTTTCGCTGTCCGACGCTCGCCTTCTTGTCCGTGGTTGCTGCCCGCCTGTTTGAGCGCTGGAAGCTCCTGAAGGCCCCCATCAGCGCCCGCGCTGGGAGGCAGCGGGGGGGCCTGGAAGGCTCGGCTCCCCAGGTGCAAGCTCGCATTGGGCCCCTCGAGGACCCGGCGAGGCTAAGGCTTGGGAGTCACTATTGAGCGATCCGTCTCATAATCGCGATGATGCTTGCCCCGTGGTTCTGATATTACCGCGCGTGCGTGGACATGTGTTAATGCGCAGCCAAGACGTCGAATGCGCACATGGCGTAAGCAGGCTCTCGCTAGTCGTGCGATGAAAGTGCATGCATTTCTTAAAGCTGGAGCGTATTCTTGTGGAGTATCTTGAAACGCCATCTGGAGTAGTCAATGGCCCTGTCTCGGTGACGCGCCGCCGGGGGCAGTTCCGGGGCAGCTGGTGGACTCCGCGCCCTCAAGTCCAATGCTGTCCCGATGCCGACATAGCTGAACTGCGTGCTCTTGATCAACTGTCCTGCGTGGATGTGGGGCCTTTCCAGGTGCAGGACGTCGCTCGTGCATGCCTGTCTTTCCCTTGGCGCGCCCCAGCCGGCGTCGACCTGTGGGCTCCTAGGTCTATCTTGTTTTTGCCAGTTGCCACCCTCGAGCAGCTCGCGGACATGTTCGTGGGCATTGAGAATGCCCTCGCGTTTCCGCAGCAGTGCTCGCTCTGCGCGATGTCCATCCTGCCCGAGTCTATTGAAGAGGAGAGAGCCATCGCCAAGTGCCTTGCGCTTTGTTGTATATATTGTATGGCCAGGGGCCTCGACGTGGGTGTATGGAATCGTGAAACCATGGAGTTCTGGGGCACACTTGCGAACGAATCGTCAGCCTTGAAGGCCGCGCTGTTCAGACAAGTTCGCCGTGAGGTTGCTCTCTCCCCTGGGATGTCGGCCGTCTCGGTCCTTATGTTTTTTTTTTTTGCTTTGGAGGTCTCTTGGATGCTCTCTGGGGCCCTCAAGGCGGGGGGGGTAATCTTGGCAGCCTGTGCGCAGAGTATGCTTTGGGTCGAGTGTTATCTGTGCGATGTTCTGGAGAGAGCGCATCGTGGGTTTCCTCGTGGTATTGAAGATTCCGTCTGTGCGTGTATCAGTATGTCGTATGTTGATGACATGGCCCAATGTCTCCATGCTTCCCCTAAGTTTTCGGCCAAGTACTTTCCGTCTGCAGTCGCCGCCTGTCGCGAGGGCGTCGAATAGCATGACTGCCCCATGTCTGCCATGTCTGTTGGCATGGCGTCTAGTAAGGAGCCGGAGCAACTGATGCTCCCGCATTTCAAGAAGTTTGACCTGTCCCTCCTTTTCGCCTCCCCCGTCAAAGATTTAGGTAATGTGGCTGCCGTCGGTGAGGGCGTTTGACTTGAAAGCCCAAAATTCGACGGGGGATTGCGTTTGGAAGATCCAGGAAGCTGACATCTCTGGCCAGTCTCCGCGGGGGATCTCTGAACGTCATCAGGCTGGGTCTCCTCTCGGTGGGATCGCGGGGCCATGGGGCCCTGGGCTTCCCGTGCTGCGGGCTCGAGGAGATCCGTGCGCGAGCTGCTGCGTGCCCGGGGTTTTGGAGCCCGGGTGCGTGCGCGACGTGTGTCCTCCATGTGCTGGGGGATTACAGAGATGACCCAATTTGGTCGTCTCGGGATGGAATGCCCTCCCACCAGGTATGCGGACAGGTGTGCGTCGAGCGTTGTCTCGCCTTGTCGTTGTTGTCGCCCGGGAATCTGCTGCTGAGTGGGGGGAACTCGTGCGCGGCCCGACTGCGGCTGTATACGTCGCCCATCTGGTCCTGGAGTGGGCCCCGTCGAGCCGTTGATGTGTGGGGGATTCCAGGGCAGCCGTTGCTTCGGCTTTCTGATCTTGATGTTCGTCATCACCTTTCTCGTTGTGTTCGCGTGGCCTGTTCGGCGCAGGTGTGGGCGAAAGCCGCCGCTCATTTTTGTGCTCGAGGTCTTGGGGGCGGCGCTGACTTGATTGTTCTTCGCTGTCTACATCGCTGCCTGCCGCAGGAAGGTGATTTCCAGCGGGCCGCGATGCTCGCGAACATTGTGGTTGGATCGTGCAGGCCAAAAGGCCGCCTCCAATATTCGGGATATGCATCGGGCGGGACGTGCCCCAGATGCGCCGACTACACGGAACATTCGAAGCCTCGATCTTGGACTTGTCCGCATAATGCGCGCATGCATGACGCAGCGGTAGTGGCTCCTGAACACCTTATTCCTCCAGCTGGCGCTGCCGCCCCGGACTCCGCCTGCTGGGCCCGTGGGCTGCCCTCGCTGGCAGGTGCGGCGGGGCTTGGCCCCCCCCCCCCCTCCTGGTGCTCGTGCGTGGTCCCCGGGGGGCTCTTTGGGTGTCGGCGGGTGGCCGGGGGGCGGAGTCCGGGGAAGCTGGTGGAGTCTGGGGGCGAACGTGCTCGAGGTGATCGCCCGGGGAGGTGCGGATGGTCCGCGGTGCGTTTTGGGGGCCCCCTGTGAGGGCCAGCCTCGCGCCGCGAGCTGAGGCAGCCCCCCCGCGCCCGAGAAGTCCATGCCCGCGGCGGAGTTGTTCGCCGTCCTGGTGCTGCTGAGCCGCAGCGCTGGAGACATGGTTTGTGACGTTGGGTTCTTGCCTGTCTGGCGCGCTATGTCCAAGTCGCGGGCTCGTGTGCCCCAGCGTTCGCCGATGCTCGACCTGTGGGCCCAGGTCTGGAATGCGATCGATCGGAGAGGTCCAGCAACTATTGCGGGTTTTGTGGACTAAGTCACGTGTGACGGAAGAGTTGCAAGTTGAGTTCGCCATCGGTCCAGCTGAGTATTTTCTTCATTGGAGCGTTGATTTCTTTTGCTGGATGGTTGGCAGAGTCGTCCGCAGTCCCGAATCAGGTTGTGCGGCAGACTGCAGATTGTGATGCCCTCACCCATTCACTGCAGTGTAAATTGCTCGCCGCCCGCATGGAGATAGCCGCCCAGTGCAGGCGCCTCGCAGAGGCCCCGCACCTTAACTTCCTTCGGCACCAGGCACGCCAGTGTTAGAGAGTCGGGACATTCCTGTGTCAAGAGGGGTGAAGTCCTTCGCTGTCAGATCTGTGTTCGCAAGTGTTTGATGAGGGGTCCTTTGAGGCGTTTCTTCCCTGGTCCGCTTGCTGTCCCAACAGTCAGGGCCCCAGGGGCCTCTCTGGACCACCCGCTTTATCCAGGGCCCACAGTTCCCATCATTGTCTGTGGCCCGCGGGTTTTTGTTTTGTGCTCATTGCGGCGGCTATGGAGCTGTCAATACAGCAAACCGGAGCAATGCCCTACCCGCCCGTCCAGGACAGGAAAGGGAGTGCTTACTCGTTTGGCCAAGGGCTTGTCGCTCAAGGGCGGTGTCTCGTTCCCTGAGGCCTGAGTGTTCGAGCGTGAACCCTCCTCCTCCTCCTCCTCCTCCTCCTCCTCCTCCTCCTCCTCTCCACGCAAGCCGCCCCGGGCCGCCCAGGGCGTTTGCGGACACCCCAGGACCCCCCGGGACTTCCCCAAGGCGGGCCAAGACCCCCGGAGCCTTCCGAACAGGAGGGGGAGGAGGAGGAGGCGGAGGCGGAGGCGGAGGAGGAGGAGGAGGAGGAGGAGGAGGAAGAGGACGAGGACGAGGACGAGGAGGAGGAGGAGGAGGAAGAGGAGGAGGAAGAAAAAGAAACCTAATAAAGATAAGAAGATAAGAAGACTAATGCGAATAATAACAGTAATTATACAAGTGCTAAGAATAATAAGAATAATATGAATAATAGGAATAATAATACGACGAATAAGAAGAACACGAATCATTATAGCAGGAGTATTAATAAGAATAATAATAGTAATACTACTATTAAGAAGAAGGTTTGTAATAATACGAATGCTAATGATAATACTAATAATAATAGTAATAATACGAATCTGATAATAAACCTACTCAAACTATTACGAATAAGAATGAACATTACTAAAACTAAAAACGCTAATAATAAGACGTCGAGCAATAATACGACGAACAATAAAACTCATCATATCAATAAGAGTAAACATACGAAGAATAATAATATTCATAAACAATCTCGGAAACATCATAATGCCAATAATAATACTAATAAATAGTAATAGTGATACTAAGAAGAATACGAATACTCATGCTAGTAAGAATAACACTAATACTAATATTACTAATAATACTCAGAAGCAGATTAAAAATACTAAACATAAGAATACTATTAAGAATAACCATATTAACATTCATAGTAATAACCACGGTAAGACTAATACTCATAAGAACACTAAAAACAAGAATAATACTACGACGACTAATAATAATACTCATGATAATAATATACCAGTGATACGGAAAACACTAAGAATACTAAGAATAATATTCGTACGAATAAGACTATGAACGCTGAACAATAATAGTAATACTAATATTAATCAAAATACGATGAATAAGAATGAGAAGAAAACGATTACTAATACGAGTACTAATAATATTTAGAAGAAGAAGAATACTAAGACTAATACTAATCATAATACGAAGAAAAGGAACATGATGAGGAGGATGATGAGGAGGAGCAGGATGACGAGGAGGAGGAGGAGGAGGAGGAGGAGGAGCATGGAGGGAGGAGCAGGATGGAGGGAATACAAGCAGGAGCGATGATGATGCTCCGCGCGAGGAGGGGCTTGAGGAGGGAGGGGAACGGATGGGGGGAGCGGTGGAGGAGGCCTCTGGCGCCGCCGCCAG